GAGCCTCACCAGACAGCAGCCCCCCCCCCCCAACCCCCCAGGAGGGCTCCCAGAAAAACTGTCTAGTTACACAGGGCCCTGTGTCTGGTCATTACCGAAAACAAAGCAAGCAATAAAGATGCTTGTTAAAGAGAGCACTGGGTAGCCCTAGCCAGTTTGAGCTGGCCTGTGGACTGAAGGGTCCCAGGTTTGATTCCACTCAAGGGCATGTACCTCAGCTGCAAGCTCAATCCCCAGCCCTAGTCAGGTGGCATATGGGAGACACAATCAATGTGTTGCTTTCACATCGATGTTCCTCTTCCTCTGTCTCTCCCCCTCCCCGCCACTCTCTCTAAAAAATCAATGGGAAAATATCCTCGGGTGAGGATTAACAAAACAGAAAGAAGGAAAGAAAGAAAGAGAGGAAGGAAGGAAGGAAGGAAGGAAGGAAGGAAGGGAGGGAGGGAGGAAGGAAGGGAGGAAGGAAGGGAGGAAGGGAGGAAGGGAGGGAGGGAGGAAGGAAAGGGTAACTTCCCCCTTGGAAGCTTAAAAAGTCATCATTTTTTAAAATGCAAACCTCTCTCTCCCACTTTATTCCAAATGTTTTTAACCCTCTGACTAATCTGAAGGCGGATCAGTAAAAAATTTAAAAAAGAAAAATCCTATCCTGATGATTAGTTAAATAGGTGGTTTTGGCAGTTGCATTTAGCCACAAGTAGAGTCTGCCTTAGCTCATGAAAAAATGCCTGGCAATTAGCTTTTATACGCTGTATCCAAGGAGTGCTTCAGAAGCTCTGGAAAAGATGTTATGTTCCCAGCAAGTGAGGAAAACGCCTCCCACCCCATCTCTCTCAATCCCAATGTGCATTATTCACATTCGCAACAAAACCCCATTTCATTGGGCCGAGGTTAGTCTAGCATTTGTTCGAACCTTCGGGGATCACAAACCAATGGGGTCCGAGCGAGGCCCTGTTAGGTCCACTTATGAGTCATTGAACGTCTTCATTAGGAAGAGGAAGTCCTTGCCCGGGTCTCTGCAGAGGCACAGAGCAGATTTCCGACTCGGCAGAGCCTTCCTTCCCGCATGAGCACATTGGGCAGAACCACATGTAACCCGCACTGAGCTGGGCCTGGCCCCCTGACAGAGCACAGTCATGTCCTGAGAGGAGAACCCGAGGACAGCGGCTCGGTGCGGGGAAAGGAAGGACTACGAGCCCGGGGAGTGGGCTGTGGGCTCACTTATCCTGATAACCACGGGTCTTGCTGCCCCTAAGCCCTGAGATCCTCCTACGAGACCTTCCAGCTTATCAATCAGTCTTTCCAAGATGTGGTGACAGTCCTTGCAGTGTGACGTCTACGTAGCGGAAGAACTTCCTATCGTCAACATACAAGACCTGGTGAAGCCAGACCCGATGAACACTGCCCTTGGGGTGCAGATGAGACTTTGGGGGCCATTTCCTACTGGAAGAACTATTAGGGTCCTGCAGATCCCCAGTGGCGAAGCCCTTATGAGAGCTGGATCCTAGAGTCATCCCAGGGTGGACCACTGCAAACCCTAGTCACGCAGAGGCCCGGGGTTGACTTAATCTTGGAGGAGGAAGGAGAAGAAACAGAACTGCTCGCATTCAGCCCCTCCCACGTACCAGCCTCTCACACATATTTGTCTTCCGCCCACTGACGAGCCTGTCAGGGAGCTCTCACTCTCCTTCAGACTAGGAAGCTGAGATGAAGTGACCCTCCCAAAGCCT